ATTTTTATTGTTTGTCATATATATCTATACACTATCCTTTTTCCTCACACAGAAATTATAATGCTTCTATCGCGTCCTAAAATTTAGCATAACACCTATCTACCTACCTAGGTGTATGATGACACATACCTCGTACATCAAGCTTTTACTTTTTAGTTATAGGGATTTTGATCCGTGCTGATTGCGGAACCCTAAAATCAGAGAATGAATTGATTACCTCCTCCTGTACGTAAACATGTCGGGGTACGCTCTCGTAAAGTGTAAGGGGATATTTTTAACGGCTTCGATATTTAATATTTATTGCGACACGGACATCCAATATGAGTCCACGATTTATAAACGTAATCGCTTCGGGTTCTGATGCTTGCTAAGTGATAATAATACCCAATTTTATTATCATTTCGATAATAATTACCTGACGAATAACCATAATAACGCGGATATGTTAAATACGCAAAATAACTTGTATCCTTTCAATTCGTTGGTATACATAGAGCTATAGAGAACAAGTCTTAGGTTTTAAAAGCTCAGATCCACCACTCCAGCACGATGGGCTGTTTTAATAGTATAATTGCATAGTTCAGACCAGAAGGCCGTAGGTTTGACTCTCAACATGTTTCTTAACCGTTTTTTAATTTTTCTAAAACATGGTAGACAGTCTACATTAAGTGTCACCGTATTTCAGTTTTAATCTATGGATTTCCGTAAGTTCAAAGTAAGGATAACTGGATAGCGCATCTTGTTTAGATGGTATATGGGGTATTACGCCTTCCATCATTTGTTGAGGTCTGGATGGATTTAATTTGAAATTTTTAAATACAAAAAATGGGGCCGAATAAACTTATTTATCTACCTGACACTAATAAATGTAACAAGTCAAGAAGCACAGATATAGACTATAAATAAACCCATTATTTATAGTCTGTGCTTAACACCCTTTAAAACAGATAAAAACCGAATGATTCCTCTATAAATGACAGATTAGGCTAATTTATCGCTATAAACGTTCCGGCAATCGCGCGAACGGGTGCAAAGCTATTCTGAATCGAAATGGCTTCTACGAAATCACATGTTTGGGAAATTTATTATAAGTACGTAACTACTGTTTGTATGACAATAAAAACTACGTTGATCGTCTTTCGATCTCGTTTCGTGAGGCCAGAAGAATAGTGTGGTAAATGAAGTATCAAATAAAGACACGTATTGTGTATAGATAAATAATAAAAATAAAAATGCTGATATATTAAGGAACACGATACTAAGCTCAGTGCAAAAGCAATACTCCGCAATATCTATTGTGAACCTCCTGAAGTAATTTCAAGTATTAAACTCTTATTACAAGTGGATGTTTCAATAAAACACTTTAACGGTTTAAAACACCATATATATAGTTTAACTTGTTAGAGAATTATTTTAACTATGCGCCGACGTTTCGGATGCTTTGCAGCAGCCCTGTCAGAAGGGGAGATGTCAAAGTATTTATTTAAATGTGCTTGCGTAAACAACAGACAATATTTAAAGTATAATTGACTTCCAAAATGTTTAAATCTATTCTTTTAATAAGTATATAGGAGAAAATCTAGTCAATTACAATATAAAATTGTTTAAATATCATGAACGAAAGTTTTACATTTACCACATTATTTTCGTGGGCAAGAGCCCATCGCATTGAAGCGATATAAGGAGCTACAACAACAAACAGAAAAACATCCTTTTGAGATCGATGTCCGAGCGAGTTTGTTTAATTTGGTTTTATTTATAATTTATCCTCACTGTATGGGAGATCTTTAATAGATACTTATGGCGATTTAGATAAATAAACTAGTTCTTGATTCAGAGCTACAGATTTTTTTACTTCATATAGAATCTTGGGTTTTTCTTAAATTATGTAAACTTCTAATGTATTTGCAGTGATTTTGTTCATTGTAATATTGTATTATCCAGTTGCTTCAATGGTCTAATAAAATTGAAACACTCTAGAAAATTCATAGTATTTGCTACCGACATTTTAGGCTATTTTAACTTAGTATCTAATAGGTAAACGTGTGAAGTATCATTCTAATTCGTACAAAGTACATAATTAAGAGCAACATAATAGAGTAAACAACTGGCTTCGATCGACAATTAACTGATTCCAGCATAATTTCGTCTGGAAATGTGGATATTAAAAGTGTAGGAAAACTATCTAAGTTCCGTTCGGGTCACGAACCACCGTCCACAGATAAAGAAAAAATATAATTTCTTCCGAAGATTTCTAAATATTCACAGCAAAAATAGGACAATAGCATATCTTAAATACTGTCTATAGTTTACGCGAGTAGTACACATCTAAATAAAACACTTTAACGGTTTAAAACGCGATATATTAGTAAAATTTTCAAATAAGTTTAACTAATATATCGCGTTTTAAACCGTTAAAGTGTTTTATTTAGATAGCATATCTTGTTTAGATGTTATAGGCTGGGGTATTCCTCCTTCCATCGAGTGAACGCCGTGCTTGTCTGTCCTTCTGTTTACAAATTAGATTAAAAACTATATTTAGGTATAATACTAGGCGCTCAAGTTTACACGTTACTGCTAGCATATTTTATAGAACTGATTGAACTCTAAACCTTTCCAGAATCCCGTTTCCGTGGGGATTACAGTTGCGCAAAATCTGATTTATAACCGCCCACAAAAGTGGATCTCTTGTCGTTCGGAGATTTATTCACAAGATATTTAAATTAATACTTCCTACAATCTACTTATATTCTATGTCATATGTTATTATAATATGTATTATGTTCGCCTACTTAACTGAGTTTTTAATAGCATCGCCCAGCTTTGCGTTAAGAGAGATCCCTGTTCCAAGCCCGGCCTTTTCGATCGAAAAAGACACACAGGTATGACTTGGTTATATATTAAATTTATCAGTGAGAAGGACCCAATATTTCCGAGCTTCAAATTATTAATATTTCCAGCGTTAAAAGTAATAGGCCATGTTAATTCTCCTTATCAATTAAACACTGTTGGTTGTTTATGCAAGTAGTGCACGTTTAAATAAAGCATTTTAACGGTTTTAAACGCGAAATATATTAGTATAACTTATTTGAATTATTGAATGAAGTTAGGATAATTTAGTTAAGATAAGTCGGCCACGGGGAAACTAAGTTAAATTATATTATTTGCGTTTTAAAACATTAGTGTTTTATTTAATTGTGTACTACACGCGCAAACTAGGTACAGACAGTACTTACATTAACACTAAATTTACGTTTATAAATTTAGTTTTTACTTCGAGTTTTAACCAAGTATGTTGTAAATAAGAATAGAACAGAATTGTTTTTAATGATTGCAAATACGGAGAGAGGATTTTTTTAGGTCTATCTTTAGATTCGTCAAAATTTTTTTGTTTGTCTGTCTGTTTGTCGTGATTCTACAGAGTGTTCAAAAGAGCAACATAACTGAGAAGAAAACCCAAAAAACTCAGTCCGGCTTTTTTTAACATGTCTTATAAACTAATACATTGTGAATTTATTAACCTAGAAAGCAATCCATATTACTGCCATTTGTTATATTATCTATGTAAGTACTGTCTATTACTTAAATAGTTTAGGAGTTCAATATCTTTCAAGACAGATAATTATAAAGAAAAATCGTACATTATTTCCGTACGTTTAAATATACACATCGGTTCTATATTACTTATAATAAACACACAGATTCCTATACGATCGTTTGTAATCTATAAACATTCGTGTAATGATTGCGTCTATATCTGGCCACTAGATGGAGCGCAGGTGTTTTCTGACAAGCAAAATAAACTTAGCCGTAATCGATTTTACATTCGGTACGAAATTAATCGATACTTCAGGTATTCGAATGGATTATATAAATATTCGAAAATTATGCACCTGTAATTTTGTAATGGTGTTATATAAATACATATTTTAGAATTAAATAAACAATGTTAATAAGAAAAGTGTCTACATAAAAGTTAAGAACGTACAAACTACTCGATATTATTTTTATATCTTTTTTAACTCAAATATCTCGTAAGCATTATTCATCGATGATGGACTGTGACGTAAGTAACGTTACAGTCATTTAAAACTTTGAAATTGCTTAGACGTTAATCTTGAAAGGGTTTTTAATATAAAGAGGGAAAATTTTCATCAGTAATCGTGGGCACCTAAAGTAGTTAAGACTTATTTCAATTACATAAGTTTATATTGTCACCTAAAATTTTTATGATGTCCCAGGATAATACAAGAAAAACGTAACGAATTCAGTGGCGTAACTAAATGGGAAAGGGCCTCGGTGCACAGAGAAAGAATAGGGACCCCACCCCCTCTTTCTACGTGGCTTGAACTTACTTATTCTCTTTAAAATTATACATAAGAAGGGCCCCCTCGCGGTCCAGGGCCCTGGTGCACTGCACCACCGGGCCCTACTATAGCTACGCCACTGAACGAACTATTGTATTTTTTTAATTAAAACACTTTTAACGGTTTAAAACGCGATGTATTAATTAAACTTATTTGAAAATGATTTTTAATTTCGGCCCGACGTTTCGGATGCTTTGCAGCAGCCGTGGTCACAGGGAGACATTGAATTGTCTATCTCTAAGTAAGTATGACTTGACATTCGAACATAATACGGCTAAAATATTGCAAACATTCAATATAGGCGACTAAACGCACAGGCAATGAATAAAATTATGATCTAGGGTTTTCAGTAATTTTAACTTAACACACTTATTTAACGTTTCGACAAATGGCGCAAGCAATAAAATCAAATTGGTCCTGCAAAGCCCATATAAAAGACATAAAAGAGTTTTACTGTAAACAACTGTAGTGTTTAAAACACTGCTGCTAACCACTAAATCGCCACGCCCATTTGTAATCAGCCAATTGGAGCGCTACATCGATTCGATCACGCCCCCCATCTGCGCAGGCGACGAAAGTTGAACGCCGAGCTTCTCAGTTTTTCAATAACATCCGCGTAGATTGGTAGTGAATATGACATCTTTGAATAGTGAAGTGAATTCGTCGAAGTTAAAGTTTAGTGTGGACAGTATTTTGGGAAACAATGAGCCTACTAATACTCAAGTGTCAGACAATAGGCCGCAGGAACCTCCGTGCGCGGGATGTGTTGCAGCGTTATATAGATGCTGTAGAGATGAGCCCTCCTTGCTGCAGTTGCAATTGCCGTTGCCATATTCACATCTGCATCCAGCTTTAAGACCAAGTACAGGTGTGATTTAATATGTGGGGGGGATTTATCTTCCTTCTACGACCTTTCTTTCTTCCTTCGAAAACCTTTTATACTTAGATTTTATTTTTTTAATATAGAGCCTTGACGACTTAAATTTACGAGTTATTGACGTGTTTAAGTGTAGCTAGTACACATTATATACACTTAATGAACGTCTTATTATTTGTTCCATCCATTTTTGGAAAGTAAAATATTTAAAATATGTTTAATTCTGTGAATGAATAAATTATATGTTAAAACATTTTTCGATTTTTAAACAAGCGAAATGAGTATAAAAGTTATTTTATTAAATAAAGACATAATCAAATGATAGGTACAGTGATCGTGGTTATTAGTACTATGTTGTATGACTTCAATTTAATAAAAAATACTGCTAATTGAATATAGATACAATGGTAGCAATTACAGCTAGTATTCAACGAATCGTTTGTTATATTCCCATCAAGTTGAACATGTTTAAAAAAATTCTCAATAATTTTTCTTTATAACATGTTACACTTTGTAGAATCTGATTAGAATATTAGATATTAATACCAACTATTTAATTCCACCCGGATCGCGAATCCGCATCCACATATGGACAAGACGTGAATTGTACCTACCTAATCTTGCATTTCGATTTCTGTGAGGATTTCCGAATGTTTAGGCCAAAATAGGCCGACAGCACATCTTCTTATTTAGACGTTCTATGACTGTGGCAATTCACTACAAGCTTCAATTAAAAAAGTTACTAAAGATTTGTCTTAAGCAGCAATAGCTCGGTTAGCGGAACATTCAATTCAAAGATCCTTTTAAATAAAACACTTTAACGGTTTAAAACGCGATATATTAGTTAAACTTATTTGAAAATGATTTTTAACTTCGGCCCGACGTTTCGGATGCTTTGCAGCAGCCGTGGTCACGGGGAAACATTTTCAAATAAGTTTAACTAATATATCGCGTTTTAAACCGTTAAAATGTTTTATTTAAATGTGTACTACTCGCGTAAACTATAGACATTATTCAAAGATCCTTTCATTTGTTTGAAGTAGGTGAGATCTTCAATAAAATAAGTACATTTTATTGAATAATTTATATTAAAAAACGATTATAAAATGAAAAAATACGGTTCGGGGAGGACTCGAACCGGCATCCATAAAGTTCCGCGCTGTGGCTTTAACAAATTGAGCGCCCGTGTCCTACACATCATCGTCGGATTTTTTTAACCTATGCAAACATGCACCCAAACCGGTTTGTAATTTATAAAGCCATGCGCAAAATATTAAAATTTACAAATAATTCATATATTTTTTTCAGTTTATCGTCTTCCACTACCAACATCCTCACCACCGCATTCGTCAACGCCACGATGCGATGTGACGTCAACGGGAAAGAGAAAGAGATCATGGTCGCGTGCGGTTTTCAGTAATCTTCAGCGGAAGGGCTTAGAAAGGCGATTTCAGATACAAAAGTACATAACAAAACCCGATAGGCGACAGCTAGCTGCTACGTTAGGATTGACAGATGCGCAGGTAGGTTCCATAAATTAAACAAAAAATGTTTAAGGAGAAAGTAAACAAAAAAAAAGTCTCTGAATAAGATAAGCCCTTATGTTATTTTCGACTAAGTAATAAGTTATTTATAAATAAATTTTATAACTAGTGCTTTAATACAAATTAATTTTTGAAATATATACTTCGTTAACAATTTGGGATATATACAGTCATATTACATTTCAGGTTAGGAGTTCTAAAAATAGTTTGAAATATTGACAATTAAATAAATTGTTTTAATTCCATAAACTTTTTGTTTTGAATATTTTAGAAATTATTGTAAAATTTAAAGTTGTTAGTTATAAACGGCATTCTTTATAATTATGTACCTACCAAGCTATGTATGTATATAATATAATAATCAATCAAGCTAATGAGCAAAGGAACAGTATATTGTAATTGCGATTTGTTATAACTAGCTGTGGTCGCGACTTCTTCCACGTGGTATTCCACTTTATTTTGGGCATCATATTATTAATTTTAGTAAACAACCTCCCTTCCCTTTCTTTAATCGTTTTCGCAGCGAATTTTCCCCGTCTTTTTTCACACTTCCATTTGTTTCTTGGCTTTTATTGGTTGCATTATACTGTTTCATAGCCCAAAGCCTTCCTTGATAAATTGTCTTACCAACACAAAAAGAATCTTCAATTCGAACCAGTAGTTCCTGAAATAACGCGTTTAAACAAACTTCTCATCTTAGTAGTCCCTTCACATGCCCTGTGCGTAGTCAGTAGCATCTTCATATTAGTGTAGATTTACCATACTTTAGCCCTCTGTTTGTGTCCCCAATCGTAAATAATAATAAGGACGCAAGAATAAGAACTGTTTTAGCAATGGTGACGTTTTTCAGGTAAAAGTGTGGTTCCAAAATAGGCGAATGAAATGGCGACATACGAAGGAGGGCCGCGCGGGTTTGAACTCCGTCGGCCGAGACCCGGACTCGACGGCTAACGAGGATAACGAAGACATCGATGTTGATACGCTTAGTGATTAGATATTCAGACAAAATCAATTAAGTTTCGACAGTCCAAATATCTGAACATCCAAAGCCAAAATAGAACCACGTGTTTGTCTCATTAAAAAATCTAATTTACGTGAAATATCTCTACTTATCAAAACCAAATTTAAAATATAAGGGCCTTGCATGTTTCACGTAAGCACTGTAAAAAACAAAGGCTGCTCGTCTTTGTTTTTTGTTGATGATCTTTGGAGTAGAGAGGACTAACTAGATGGTGTTCATCGCCAGAAAAGTAGTCATCAAAAGAATTTAAAATAAAAAAAAGTTAAGGGCGATTGTTTGTTCAAATAAGTAATATACAAGATTTTATACATTAATATAAAGATTAATATAACAAAAGTCTCTTGTTTTTTTTTTAAATAAAATTAACGTTGTGTATATTTAAAGAGAAATGGAACTGACATGCGCACGCGCAGGCTTATTTCTTCGAAATTTACCATTTTTATATCGACTGCGTATCCCAGAACAAATATTACAAAAGCAATGCGGGAAGGATTAAAAACAATAAAAGTAAATGAGTAAATGTTTAATTCTTATATAGCTTACAATTCTTTGTGGACAATAAACTGTATTTATTTGGCAAAAGATGTATATAAAATAAACTATTTGTATGGTTTAATCTTTTAAGCTGCGGAACCAAACTAAATATACAGTCAAATTGATTGACGTCTTAAGTATGTAGAAAAGAGAGATATCTTAGTTTATTTGCTTTCATATTATTAATAAAGTATATTTTACTAATAAACATTCGGTTTAGTACCGAAATATGATAATTTATAGACTGATTCGTGGACAATGCTTCTAAATTATCTATCTAAATGGCCAACAAAACTGGATAAAAAAACAACCGTTGAACCGTAATGTATATATAAGGTAAAAGATAACGGCACGCTTCCTCTCTGTGGGGTATGGGGCGAACACTTTTGTGCCTGTCATCGATCGCTCTTATTTACAGACCAGAAGTTACTCAGACTTGTGTGTCCTGAACGGCCAAAAAACATATTTCCCAGAAGTGCTAAGTTTAACGTAATGCTAAATAAAAATTTCACCGTTAAATTACAAAGGTGGTATGTCGTTATGTGATTTTTACTTCAAAATTATGTCTCATAGTTTTCGTCAATAGATGTCGTTGCGTGTTCTGTAATATAGCGTGTGTGTCAATTTTGTGGACAAAGCGAATTATTTTCTTTAATACGCACGCAATTATAAGCTAATACTATAATAATTTTGAAATAAATTGGTTTATCTAGCTCTGTTGGCTTAATTATGTTAAAATTGACAATAGCGAATATGAGTGGAAGACACTTCGCACACAATTGAGTTTGTATAAACATTTCAGCCATTATATTACAAGTATTATAGTTAAAGCAACCCACCTTCTAAAATAGCTATAAACAAATTCGGTTTGTGTGTAACTACCTTCAAACAGCTATTTTGCTGAAATACCCAATACTAATATGCCAAATTCACATATACGGTTTTGGAGGGATATTATTAACATTTACAAAAAAAATCACGTACATTTACAAGCTTCCTCAAGCAAAGTGTTTTACTCAAATGAACGAGACAAAAGAGTTTTGGATACTGAATGTGACATACAGACCGTCGGGGCCCTATTCTTAATACATATATATTTTTAATTCTATTTCAAAATGTCGTCGTTTATTATCAATCCAGTGGCAACTCTTTATAGAAATAATCTCCTGACCATAATCCTAGTGACAAAGGCAAAGTCTGATCTAGTCTAGACCTAATAATCTACCAGTTTAACTTTTCTTTCCGACTCGCCATCTCTCCTAGAAGGTCCTTCATGATCTTGTCTGTATCCGCCTCTAGAACCCACTCTACGACCTCGTGAGAACCTGAAGTAGGAATTAAGAGTGTAAGATTTATTTTCCTGTTGTACAGAATGAGGTGATATTTCTGGGTCTGTGTTTTTATTTACATACAATTATATCCAACTTGTGTGCCCATCAGACAATTCAGTCTTTTCCTAGAACCTACCTTGATACTAAGAATACGTTACATAACAGTTTGAATTTTATAATTCTAAATATTTTTTGAATTAGTGTAAGGTATTTTTTATTTAATTGGTTCGAGTAACAGCGCGGAACGCTGATGATGCCTTTTCGAGTCCTGCCCGAGTAGTAATTTTTTTTTAAATGTATAATTCATATAGTTCCATCATGTGCAATAACATATGAAAGAATATTATAGTTATCAAAGGTATTTTTTAGTTAAAATTGTAATCATAAATTCCATCCGAACATATAGTTATAATGAAAAACAATTCTAAAATACGCAAACGCTTCTACAAAGAGAAAAATAAGTCCTCTTTATATTCTATATAGTCACATCTATCCATCTCTTTCTTATCAAAAAATCTACTATCTTAAATTAACGAATATAAAAGTAGTACCTAGAGTTTGTCCTATAGCGATCATCTCTATTCTCCTCTTCATAGTATCTCCTCCTTGGGTCTATCTCTTGGTACTTCTGTCTATAGGGCGACACCTCATCGGATTCCCACACTTGGATGCGCTTTTCTGGAGTCCTACTCTTCGACTTACTTCGTTCTTTTCGAGGTGCCGGCGAAGGTGACTTTCTGTAAAATGTCCAAAGAAACTTGTATTTACGGGCTTGTTGGAATGATAGTAATGTATGGCTAATAATCAAAGGGTCGGGGTGAGTTCCATCACCACCGAGTCCAACATTTTTGTAAGTTAAATATAAATAGATTATAAATAAAGCAACAGCACGGAACGCTGTGATTGCCAGTTCAAGTCCTGCCCGTGTCATCAAAATATTTCCAAATTTTCTGAAATATGTTTGACTTCGTCTGGAAATCTGGATATAGATTACATAGATTTTTTTAAATTCAGCAAAATTACCTCGCCGAAGAACTACTGCGACTCTTATCTGAATCTTCATCGCTTGAATGACGACTCTGCTGGTGACGCATCTCTCGTTGTCTATAACATTAGTATTTCATTAATTAACAGCCTTTAACCGTTCCTATGGGGTAGTCAAAATGGCAGACACACACAAAGAACAAAGATAGCTGTTATGATGCACGAAAAAAGAATTAAAATTCAGTCATAAAAACGGAAATCGGTAACACACACCTAGACCTAAACGTAACGATCATCTATAGGTATGGGTGTAGTACCCAGTGTGTGATTTCAACTTGATGTAAATGTTTTTCACATCACATTGAACCTTAATACGCACTTCATAAGATTGAGATTTCATTGCACGAGAGTTGTTTATTTAAAAAGGTGGAAAAAATTCGACGATGACATGTTCGACGACCTATAGTGACGGTAGCTCAATTACGGCAACAGTACGAAACTGTGGATGCCGGTTCGAGTCCTGCCCGTGTCGTAATTTTTTTCAATCTAAAATCGATTTTAATTTATATAACGCCATCATGTGCAGTATGTGGAAAATATATAAGATATATATTTATTTTTTGTACTGACTTCCTCCTCAGCTTGATAGCCAGTTCTCTCATTTCTTCATCTCGCCGCGCTTGACGCCGGTTCTCCCGCTCCAAGCGCTCCGCCTCCGCCCGTTTATCAGCTCGCACTATACACAAACATAGAAATGTGAATTACTTAAAAAAAGTACAAAACACGGTATATTACCATAACGATATAAAAGAATTGTAATAAATAAATTATGAAAATAAAATAGTTTAAAACGCGTTTTAAATTATTAAGTGTTTTATTTAAATGTGTACTACTAACTACAGACAACACTAGATTAAAAAAAATGCAAAATTATAATTCTCCTACTTTAAAAATATCAATAATTTATGTTATATACTAAAACTCACATTGCCTTGATAGCTGTGCTTGCATTTTTCTTTTAAGTCGTTCCTTCATAGTCAAAGCTTCACGCGACGTTCCCTGCAAAATATACAAATATACCCGCTTAGTAAATTGAAACATTCTAAACATCATTGTTTCAATAGGTATTTCCTATTTTATTTTAAAGGACTATAATGCTCTTTTAAATAAAACTAGAAATATATTAAATATTTCACGTTTTACTGCTACTAAGTGTGTATATGACATATCTGTCGTTATTTTTTAAAAATCCGCTATAAATTTATCTTAACATCAAAAATGCATTCAATAATGTATATACATTATGACGTTTGTTTTTCATTCAAGATTGGTTCAAATATAACTGTGCTTCCACACACGATTATGCTAACTACGATGATTAGTAAGTTTAAGAGGTTATGATTTGTACATTTTTTACAAGCATTTCGCTTCGATTTTATGGAGGCCCTACAGAAACATGGAAAACACAATTTGGTCCATAGTAATATTACCTGTCGAAAAATCGTACATAATCTATCCGTGATTAAAAACAGCAGTTACTAGACGAAACTGAAATCTAATAATGTAAGCGTACAACAAATAAAATGATTCTTACTGACTTTGGAGCTGGATCCATTTAATCGTAACTGATTCTGGTTTGCCTTTGATTTATTGCCAACCGAAGATCTGAAAGGACAATTTCTATGATAAATATGGCTGCACGGAGAGACACTGTCCTTTATTCTATATTTTTAATGACACAAAACAAAAAGACAAATATCCTCTATCATGTTGTCCTATGGATCATAGACTACTTTTTATTTATTTTTTATTTCTTTATACCACTTTTAGGATTATAGTATCTGGTGCAGAAGAGAAATAAAAAAATAATATTATTCTCTTATTCTGTAATGTTCTCGATGGAATTATTACTTTTAATATACATGACTAACGCACACACACACACTATATATATATATAGTGCTGAAACAAAAAGGACATAAAGTTTTAGATATTTTTATTTGGAGGGATGGGGGCATCCAGTCATGTAAAAATCTAAATAAGAGGCGCTGAGGCATTCGGAAACACAGAATGAGACTGAAAAGTGGTTAAACTGAACGGCGCTTTCAACTGTGGACGATGGTTCGTTTCGCAGACGGAATTTCGATATTCAAAAAAATCGAAATTCGAAAAATTAAACATTGTTTAGAAACGGGTTTAACAAGTTAGTGAGAACCGACAACCCGTTGAAAATTATCACATAATATTTTACATGCGAAAAGTATAGCGTCAATTACTGTAATATACGAATTATAAGTTAAGAAATAGTAAAACAGTCACACATGTTAAAAATATTAATTGATGTAAATATAAAGCCGTGAATAAGAAATTACTTCTTTAAACATTTCTCACGTTACACAAAACGCTCCTGATTGGTCGGGTTTATGATGACGTCACTTGCTTGTACACAGTGATATAAACCACCATGTTAAAAGTGTTGTATTATCTGTCTTAATAAAATGCATGCATGCAAGATTGTAGGTCAAATGATCGACATACACCTATGGCCAATATAAGGTCGTGACGTCACTAGCCGTGTTGTAGCGTTATTTCAAAGTTAGCGATTAGCGCAATTTAAAGGGTTGATATTTAATTTCTGCAAATATGTATCAGAATTGAAAAATACTCCTTCCTTAACGTTTTAAACAACAGCACGCAATGCTGACCATACCGGTTAGGGTCCTGCCCGAGTCGATTTTTTTTTCTATTTATAATCGATTTTTAATTCATATAATGCCATCAAGTGCAAGAACATGTGAAAAATATTAAAGTATCCCTAAAATTTAGCAAAAAATATAAAGTACATTTTAATAAGTCAAATAGTCTAAACTTACTTATACTTGTTTTCAGATCCGCTGGATTCTGAGTCGAGAGACAGCTCGCTAGAAGACTTGTCTTCCTTCCGTCGTCCGTAATACCTTGGCACTGACTTCGTGACGTTCTTCTCCGAGCTAAAAAAACAATAAGCTTTTGTTAGATGTACATATATCTCATTACTTTAAATATCTAAAATCTCAAATGCTAGACTATTGTATATGTAAGCAGTATAAATTAAATAAAACACTTTTAACGCCTGGAAATTGCGAAATACCCTAGTAAGATATTTTGAGCCGAGACCAGGGTTGCTGAATAGCATTAGAAATTATATACTTAACCATTATGATATAAGTGTATATTTTTAGTAGACGAAATTAAACATATTGTGATTTCACTATTCAAATATTAAATTAAACTAATCTAAAAAGAATTCTTACCCATCAAATGACATAGACCTGGACCGTTTACGCTTTCCGCTGCCGTAACTGTAATTTATATATTATAAGGTCATTTCTCGTTCACCAACGTTTATTGATATGTATAGATATATACTTTATACAATTTATAATTCTAATATAAATTATATAAGAATTAGTTAGTAGTAGTAAAAGTGAAATCTCATTTTCCACTGTGAAACATGGGGCAAACATTTGTGGGTTTGCCCCATGTTTCCAGTGGAAACACACTGATTGATTTTGTTTTTGTATTGTAGGTATGTTTCATAATCCCAAAATGCAAAATAAAATGTTGTTACTTTGTTAATCATAATTATCTAGATTCTAGACAACTTGTACAAACTTTGAACCACTGCGAGATCGTCTCCTGTAACTTCTAGACCGGGACCTCGACCGCGACGTACTGTAGGAGGTCGACGACCCAGAGGACCTCGACCGCCTCGACCTTGAACTCGACTTGGAGTACGACCGCGATTTGGATCTGGAACGCGACCTCGACCGGGATATGGAGTCCCGGAATCGCGGCCCCATTACAGGACGCGGCTGACTGTCCTGTGACCTTGACCTGTGAAATTAGGGCAATTAGAATTTGGGTCACACGGGGGTATGAAATTTATGCACTGTGTATTGGTAGTCTATTAATATATATGATAGAGGACGACAGACAACCATGTAAATGTATTGGATATTCGTAATTGAGACTGCAACCGAAACGCAATTGAACTTGACGGCTTGGTGGTTAGTGAGCCGGACGGCATTTCGTTATTTCTACTACACATTTAATGTCCAGATTTTCAGACGAAATCTATCATGTTTTATAATAGTACATTATGATAAAAGTGCGGTAAGTTGAAATTACAGCCGAGGCGATATTACTGGCCCGAGCCATCGGCGAGAGCTATAAGACAGCAGAGGCTGTAATTTTCAAAGCGCACGTATGTCATACGACGTTTTATAACATATTACGAGACATTCATCACTACTTGACGACATTTTCAAATAAAAACAAGCGGAATTATTTTTACTTGTCCACAAATAAGCGATGCGCGCGCATAAACGTTTTTTTTTTGGGCAACAGGTACAAAAACAGCCAGTATTACTAATAAAGTAAATTAATATTTTTTTGTTTTTGTTACAGATAAATGGTTGTAATTTATTGTCAAAATTAATTAAATTAAAGAATTGAATTATATTATGTATTATTTGTTATATTTTATTTCCCAAAGTTAATTTTATTCATAAAATATTGACCACTTTCTTAACATAAAACCTCTTTGCTAAAATTTTTAAGAGTATCGTTCATTTTTAGACGGAGTATCTTAAAACTTTTTAAAAAACACGTGCCTTTTACAAATTATCGCACAAGTACGTATTGCGATATTGAAATTGTGTAATTAAAACCACTTACGGGCAATATGTTACAAAAATTATTACTCTATTAACTTCTAATTAAAAAAAAAAATTAACAGTTTCATGGCATGGTACTCATACACTACGAACTATACCACAACAGATACAGTAATTGAGGATACATCTCAAATGTAGAAGAGAAATGAGAGACAAGGCACTTAGAATAAAATTACTTACCTAGAACTCTTCCTTACAGCCTCGGAATATAGCAAATTTCTTTTTAAGTTTTTCTTCAACTTTTCCGAGTACAGAGGCTTTGGCGGTGGAGCTGAAAATAATGAAGTAAAGTAAAGTATAACATTAGACAATTCAATTTTAGCTGTATATTTTGAAAACTTAAAATTTAATAAAGATTACATAAAACGCCCCAAAACTTCGGTTTTTATTTAAAAAAAAAAAAATATTGTTTACAATATCACGAGTCACGGTAAGGCAGCAAGAAATATAATTTATCAATTACGATATAGTTAAGACTTACGTGATCTTTCTTCATCCTCTGGCCCAAAGGAGGTGATGAATTCGATACTCTCAACTTCAGGTGATGGTGAACGAGAATTGGACTTAGTCGGTGATGCATCTTCTGTATTTGGTTTTTCAGTGGGTGCTGCATAACTTGGTGGACTTGTGGGTAGAGGAGGTAGTTTTTTATCTCTGGAAAAGCATTCATTATTTAAAAAAAATGCCCTTTACACATTAGACCAGTTTGATATTAATAACGCGGTAGAAGTGAGAAAGAAATTACAGCATAAATAAAGGGCCCAAGTTATTAAAGACGATTGTCAAATTGTTTTATTGACAGCAATAATTGAACAAGTATGGTGTATAGTGTATGCAATGAAGTACTTAAGTAAGTATGTCTACAAAAATTTAATTGTTAGTTATTTGTGTGATTGAATATACAAAAACAAGTTGAATTAGTGCAGTACAGTAAGTTGAATTCAAAATCCTAGAATTTCTTTATAATGCAATAATATATGCTATTTAAACTATTAAAAATAGTACACGATAAGAATTCTTGCTTAAAACATATTACTGTCTGTAGTTTACCTTAAATAAAACGCGATATATATTGGTTAAACTTATTTGAAAATTATTTTTAACTTCGGCCCGACGATCCGGATGCTTTGCAGCCGTGGTCACAAGAAGAAATAGTTTTCAAATAAGTTTAACTAATATATATCGCGTTTCAAAAAGGTAACGAGTTCTATTTAAATTTAAAAGATATTGTTCATTAAAAGGACATTGTAAAATTTTGAAGACACATCAAATATGGCCTGCTTAAGTGGTCTTACATAACACACTTTATAAATTATGCTCTACCTATGCGCACGTCGCTCTCGCCGACTCTTTCTTCCCGAGAACAGTGCCTTCTCCTTCTCTTCTCGTAACAGCTGCTTCTGGTGTTCCGCATCATCAGCATCACCAGTGAGAAACGAGAAAAGATCGCAACCGGACATACCGAACTGTGGTCCCACTGCGTTCAATTCGTGAGCCTATTGTTCATAAAATATTTATTTATATGGTGCGCTAGTAATGTGTTCAATAGTATGATGATTTAAACTATGTTAGCTTGAGAGATTCGACGTTATATAGGCAAGCACATAATGTAAAAGAGATAGCGGACGCGATGAATTTAATTTCCACTGTTCCATACAAACTTACAATTTGAGAAGAGACCAAGTAAATAACTAACCTACTTCGTAATTGTCTAGCATTCTATTGGGCACAAAAGGCCTCAGGTTTGAATCCCGATGAGAGTATGTAAATAGTTACAGTCAGTAAGTAACAAAGTTTTTGATCATCGTTGAAGTAATTGTACTTGTCAAATAAAATCGAACGGTGAAACAGACAGAAATGTGCTTCTTCTTTGTATGCGAAGGAGGAAAAAGGCACACTTCTGTGCCCTAAGTAACAATACCTATAAAGTAAAAATCTCTCTTCATCACAACAGGCCAGACAAGCTTTGTAAAGTAAATAGAAACACAAACCTCTTAATTTAATCTAATAGATGTTTTCCTTCAATATAATCCAGCACTTTTTATATTATAATATGTTTTAGGAGGATTAAAGATTACACTATAACAAGCTAATTAAATTATGGTCCAACAAGGTTTTGTAAGAATTCTTATTGTTGAAAGACTTGAATCATCTATTATCAAATACACTATAGCAAAGGTTCTTGAGTTTTGGAACTATTTAATTGTAGGTTTTATTTGTAGACAAAGTATGTTGCAGTAAGTCACATAAATACAACTTTACCCATATAAACTGCTTTAACTTTAAGCAGAACGGTTTGCTAATCATCATTCTTTAATAATTAAAAAGAATCCACACTCAAATACTAAGATACATGGGAAAAACTTAGATCACACCGAATAACTCTTTTCATGATATGAGATAGCATTGATATTAGTATTAAAAGAATGTATACCATACAACGAATTATACTCAGTACTGTTTGAATATTAGAATCATTCGGAACATAAATTTATCTAGTAGAATCACTTGACTCAAAAATCCATTCATTTAAGTTTAAATTTGTTATTAGGTTTTTTATGTATTATACATTATTTTTAATATTTTACCTGTGCAGCCTCCATCTTATTAACATCAATGCTCAAATCCACGTCTATGATCTCCAAATCGGATTCGTCATCGGAATCCTTGCTTTCAGTTTTCTTATCTGGTCCTGTAATAGTACTCAGTGCAATGAATTACACCAAAAAAGCCAACACTATGAAGTATACCGAGGTCCTTGATAGCGGAATATCTTTTTTAAAAGGTTGAAGCTACCGTTAGAGCAGGATGGTTGGGCGCCCGGATCATTATAATTGTATCCTATGGCTACACCTGTCCCCTTTTTTTCACTCAAACGGTCCCTTTGCATTTCCTTCTCTTCTATCGTGATACCAAATTGCTCTTCTATTGCCAGCTGCTGGAGAAATTTTTCTTCGCCTGTAAAAGATTACCAAAAAGTGTCAAATGTGTTATTTTGACATGGAATTAATAAAATCCTTAATGCTGGCCCAAAAGCAAGAATTTCAATGACTTACTACTTCTGGTTTGAGCTATATTTTTAAGCTCTAAACAGAAAACAACAAATAAGGAAAACGTCAAAAAGTAACTTAACATCAATAAGACACAGGTAAAATAAAGTTATACTAGAGGACTGATTCAAAAATTGTAAGTACATATATAAAGAACATACTTATTCCAAGAAAGGTATTTTGTGCAAGAATCCTATAGCGCTCATAGTTGCATTGCCTTTCTTCTTGATCTAGATCTTCAGCTGGAATATGGGGTACTTTAACATCCGGAATGTAATCAAGATGTGCACGGACATCAAACCTGTCTATCATGTTATTAGTATCACCCTGCCATGGCATCCTAAAATTATCACAATCTTGTAATTACCAACCAACAATTTTACACTTGGTAGAGTTCTTTTACTATTACCTATATGCCGTACAAAGAATACAGCTTTTGCATAGTGTACAAAATTTATGAAAGTTGCATAAACTATGGAAAAACTTAATGTTTTAGAACTTTAATTAACAGTTAGAAAGTCATTAATACAGTTAAATGCCATTGACTACTTCAATAATTACTTTAATTACTACTTTAGTTTTTTTTTATAGAACTGTGTATGTGTTTATTAGTAAAACTTACATTATGGCGGGACCTTCGCCAGCGGCTGCAACGGCCGGATCCAAATGTATCTTACATGGTCTTCCATGAAGTTGTAAAAACTGTGTTGGTTCTGCTTTCTGTGGAAATTTTACTACATGAGCTTATTTTGTTCTTGTTTGACACCAGGAGTAGAATAAATAATTGCATGATAATAAAACAAATACAAATGCCTCACGATTTTTTCGTAGAAGTCTTTTCGACGTTCGGCCCTGCGACGATAATCCACAATAAGGCCACGGATTAATTTCTCCTGCCTACGAGCTTCGTGCCACATTTTCGCAAACAGCAAGTATATATTCCTTTATTCACGATAATTATACGTACAATTAAATAGACGACGATTCTTAAATTGAGAAATTTATTATGCACCGATCATAAAGTAAAATACATCTTTCGTAGTTTGACTTTATTTGTGGCCATAGATTATATCGTACGAGAGATACAGATAGGAAACATGGCAGAGGTATTAAAATTTATGACACCTATCAGTCGATTATATGTCTTCATGTATGTATGTACTGATGGTAATTACATTAATATGTATTATACATGTTATGACTGTATTATAAAGCAAAAACAACACGATCCTTCATTTAAAATTACACTCTAATCTTTGCAATGAAATAAGTATGATTAATGAAAGTCAAGTCAAAAGTTTCGATATATTTATATACAGAAAAATCGATTTCGATACTTGTTTGTATAATATACGATTTCGTAAATGATGTACTCTAGCAAATTTTGAATACATCATAATATAATCTGTGCAATGCGTTTGTTGCTCCGATAAGTAACCGCGGTTATTCAAAACAATGTATTATGTGACATAAATCTGTTTGCAAAAGTATAAGGTTAAGGTAAAATATAACAATAAATTCGTAGAATATTTATTACTTTACAGTATATAAATACAATTCGCTATAATCCTCAACATCAAAAAAAATTTCATTAGCAACCTGATGAGGTTTGCAAATCTTTAGCCATCCTGCCATTTCCTCTGATAACTCGAGGGTATCCAAAGTGTCAGTCATACTTCTATTTGATATCAAATAACTTCCTTTCTTTATGTGTTTCTTAAAGAAATGCCACATTTCTTTATGCTTCTGAACATCAACAAAAAAGTCTAAAACGTTGATAATGATAATATTGGAATTTTTAACAATGTCACTTCTTTCTGTAATGTCTGCATTTACTACTTTTATTCTGTTAGAATCCATGGAGAATTTCTTTATTATGTTCTCTTGTATTTCACAACATTCTTTATTCATTTCAACACCAACTATAGATGATGCATTGCAAAGATAGTAAGCCTGAAAGGTATTAAAATCACATGAAATTATTAAGATTTTTTAATGCCATTGCCAACAATAATTTTATTAACAACAATTACTCTTACCCCATAGAGAACAGCACCTAATCTAGACCCAACATCCAAAAGGTGTTTCTCTTCTAAATCTTGAGGTAACAAAACATAGAAAATGTACTGAAGAGCCTGTTTTGACATTGAATGTGAAATAAATATCAGCTCCTAAAAAAATAACATATTAATGATGACATAAAATATGCAAATTCTTTCTAAGTTTTTAATGTCAGTCTAAGGTACCATTGAGTGATTTTATAATTCATTCATCAGTTTTGTACCTTTATGTTCCTTGAATTACACTCTGCGCAGTAAAATCGGGTCAACTTTTGAGATTTCACTAGTTCATCTACTTCCTTATCATCATAGAGAAACTCATCAACATGACATGTATTCTCCTTTGTACAATCAGCTTGATCTCCTATTATCGGTGGCATGATCACCTCTGATGGCATTTCAGCTTCAAAGGGAACCATATTTTTTAAGCTATTAGCAATTTTCGATAATTTCCTTTCCTTTTCCAATAGTAATTTCTTAATTTCTAAGTCTGAAAAGAATTTAAGTAAAAATTAGTGATTACCAATCTTTGGAAACTAATACTGACCTGATGTAATGCTGTTAGGTACACAACTGTAATAGTTTAATAATAGAGAGAAATAAGACAGTTTTACTAGTCACTTAAGCTATCCTCACTTTCCTAAAGATAAGTTAGTATCAATCTTAAACCTTGTTTGTAACTTTGAGTTGATATCCATGCTTCTATTGAGTGCAATTCACTATCGTCAAGTTCTGAAAATAATTCTAAGAGACGGCATTTTACATTTAAGATACTTTCTTCGGCCATACTTAAAATAAGGCAAAATTACAAGTTGGTTGTAGTGTTTATAATTTCTTAGGTTAGAACTTAGAACTTAAGTTATTGTTATTTACTGCGCTTGCGCTGACTATCGTCTATATTTTTTAAACTCAACTATATTTGACATATGTCAAATCAACAAATACAAGTTGTCATATTGACTATTGCGACAATCAGAATAAACCAGCTGTTGTCAATTTTGTTAAATACCTATTATTTGGAAAGCTTTAGGTGCTTAAATACTATTAATGGTCAAACATTGCGTTTATTTCAAACAGTAGTGACATCTTTAGTGCTCAACTATTTAAATTTTTTTACCGGACGTTGTTTGGTTAAACCAGCCTGTTAATACCGCGAATCTAGTTAAAAACCGGTGTATTACATTATAAGTTAGCGGGTTTTACTTAACGCATCCGGGTTATGTATTGCTTTTCTTCGTAACAAAATGAGTGAAACGGGCAATCTTTGTAAAACTATAGGAATCTGGATGTCTGAAAAAAAGAGTCACAAACTTAACTGGAAGGAATTCATCAACGCATGTTCTTCGCGTGGATTTAGCGTTGTAAAGGTATTGTTATTGTAAATATTTTTTTTAAACATGTTTGTTAATCTTTTTTTATGTAGATTTTTTTGAATTTTTAAATTTATACATTCTGTATTTTATTGTGAATAAGTTCAAGTGATTCTTAACTGAAGTCTTCTAAAACATAAAACCTATATATTAATGTTATGAAATAAAATGTTTCAGCTGGATCTAGAACGACCAATAGAGCAGCAAGGAAACCTCGATATCTTTCTTCACAAAATGACCGATATTATCTCTGCTTCTGACCAAGGTGACACAAAAGTAAGTTTCCAAATTACAATAATGCCCTTCATAGTTCATTTTACTCGTTTTGTTTTTTCCTAGCACAAGAATTACCTTGAAATTGGATTCAAATTTATCTTATTAGGTCAGATAACAAAATTGAATACTAGATTGTAATAAATAATTGACATTTTATTAGAAACAAGATAAGATAGTGATAAAAGATGTATAATCATTGTTAAAAATGATTCTAATGCATTTGGTGTATGAGTCACAAATGATTCATAGTTCATGGAATGACTTTTAACACACAATGTTTTTTATAGGCATCAAGTATTATCGGAAGAGTGGAACAGTATTTGTCAAATAATCCTAATGTTACTATTATAGATCCACTGGATAAAGTTAGGATACTTTTAAATAGGTAAATGTCGTGTTTTGTATATTTTTTAGTCTTTTATTTAATAAGTGTACAGCTGTAGTGATTCTCAGCTCTGGCACTTTGGTCTTCTACCTCAGAACCTACTGATTCGAATAGAAAAATACTTTTTGTGTTGGTTAGAGCATTTAACGAGAGAGGGTTTAAAATGTTGGCTGGGACCTATTAGAGCGAAGAACCAGAAAGAAATAGGAAATAAAAAAGGAACATTTTTCATCTTTGAGGGCTTCCGGTGCTTATGCTGTGAAAAGGATTCAAGAAACTCACATATTATAAATGGCTACTTTAAAAAGAATTTTATTAAATGTTTAAAGTTTAATGCATAAATTGATGATTATATCCTCATTATTTCTATTGTTATTATTTCTTTTTAGATATACCTACTACTCAATATTAGAGGAAGAAGTATCTCTTCAAAACAAAGAAGTCTACACGCCAACCTTTGCAGAATTTACAACAAACAATATAGAACAAAACATAGAAATAATGAGACAGAGGGGTGTCACATTCCCCGTTATATGTAAACCGACTTTGGCCCATGGTTCAAAGTCTGCTCATGAAATGGTCTTAATATTTAACAAGAGAGGTTTAAACGTATGCAAACCACCGTGCGTTGTTCAAAGTTTTGTAAACCATAATGCAGTGTTACATAAAGTAAATGTAATTGGTGACAGGTTAGTTGCTTATTTTTTTTCATTTGTTTGTTAGTTATGGTGTATGTCACTTTATCAAAATTTTATTTTATTACGGGGGATTATGGAAGAAGTCATATTTCTGTTTCTGTTTTATTGATTCATTTAATTATTTCTACTATGGTATATAAGATTGTAGTTGTTTATTATTAAAAGAACTGAGGTAAATACTTGCTCTATGCCATGAAATAAAGCATGAGTAAAGCAAACAAATTTTCCCTTTTACAAAAAATATATATGTTTGTAGAAATTCGCGGCCATACAAGATAATATTTATTATGTATTATTCGTATATATATATTTTCTTAATTTCAGATACAATATATGCCAACGGCCGAGTCTTAAGAATTTCTATGCTGCAGATGACCTGGATCCAATATACTACAGGACAGGTGAAGTTTGTAAAGCGGACAGTCAATCGACCCTCTCCATTCTCGATCCCAATGACAAGACAGACATAACATTGAGCCTTAACGAGGACAAAATAAAGTCTATTATAAGAATATTAAGGAAAAGAATTGGTCTGTTACTCCTCGGCTTTGATGTTGTTATCGACAACATGACAGGTAACCACGCCATCATAGATATTAATGTTTTCCCTAGTTATGATAATTTTCCTAATGTCTTTGAACATTTATTAGATTGTATTCAAGATTCTACATGTAACGGTCAAAGTGATTTAGATTGTATTAATAATCATACACTCAAAGGCTTAATCAATGTAGATGTTAGTTCGTTACAGTACAGCGTCACAGGGATGAATATTATTTAGGGACTTAGTTATTGCCTTATAAACTTTTATATATTTGTGTTTAAATGGTAAATGTTGCACAAGTTACACTGTAAGACGCATTTTACCGGTTAACGTTAACAGACCGTTAAACGTTAACGGGCGGATAAACGCATAAACTATTATATTACTCTGACAGTCGGCTACGAAGTCAAAACAACTACTTACCTGTAAATAAACGCGTTCCTGAAACGAACACAGAAATATCTCTACGCATTCCCAACACATGGGATATGGATATGACAAACTTGTAAATAGTATTCTAATTACTTGAATAGTGGTTTCTAACATCTTGGTTCGTTGAAATGGATTTATTTAATAAAAATATCAATGATTTTGTGATAATAATATATGATTTCAGGAAATGTATAGATTTTTGTATAGGTCGATAGTTAATAATAACTTCCTAAGGCTACCTAACTTTTCTATGATATTTACCAACTTTATACCATATAGTATACATTAATTAATGTAAATACAAGTAATTTATTGCATTTTTAGCATTTGTTAATTAAAAAAAACATATAAGTAACGTGCCTATGTAACTTCGTTTCGCCATATATTCGAATAAAAAGAAATGTAATTTTTAATTAGAAGTAAAAACCTATTTGTACTGTTTACTTCTAATCAATGTGAATATTTCTTGGTTGATTTGGCTATAGAAACTATAATTCATACGTTTTCTGTTTACGTTGCTATAATTACAATAAAAAAGTATTTCAGCTATTTTTAATAAACCTGCCATATTGTTATACCTAGTTGTGTCGTAGCCAAACGATGAAATTGATTAAAACTACTACTACTAAGTACTATAAAAATGGACATATGTTGTTAAGATTACAGATAATTATTTTAACAATAAGAACCTAAAAGGTATGTCATTCCAATAAAGAATTCGCTAAAGACTGAATTATTGTAAAGTGCATCTAACTATCGTATTTTATTAATTTATCTTTTTGTTATAGAACCCATTATTTAAAAATATGTACTGGAGTATGTGTTTTATTTTATACCATTTTTATTTATTCTGGTTATTAACACCAGTATCTGATAGTTGTTTACACAAAGATACGACAAATTTGGTCAATTAAGACCATATTTGTCATATCAGTGTCCGCCAACTTCAAAACTGAAATATCTATACATATAAAAAAATAACGTTTTAAAATCCGAAATACATTACCTAATGTACTTTTATTTCTTTTTCTTCTACTTCGACCCGAGGTCTGCTATGCTTTGCAGCAACCGTGGTCACGGGGAAACCCGAAAAGATTCGTGTCGTAGTTTTACGGAATAGAATAAATAATATTTTTTTTATTGAAATGGCAAGCTACCCGCCAGAACTACTTACAATATCTATATAGGTATTATTCTTCCATTGGAAATATATACTTTACTTGCCATTTTAATTTAAATAAAAAACTAAAACTTACTGAAAAACACTTGAAATCTGACTGAAAATATTTAATTGTAAAATAATTTAAGTCCAAAATTTAAATATAAAATAGTCCAGATTTTAAATATTAACACCTATTTATTAAGTCTTATTTATTAATAATAATATGTAATACAACAATTAGAATTTAAGGAAAGCAGGTCTACCCGCAAACGTATTGCCACTAAAACTTACAGTCGACCAATTTGTAGGACGCAAAATTCTGCCCTCATTTAAAACGATAATTTCAAAGAAATCTGGTTCAAATGGTGATAAGAAATAATCAGAACAAAACGTAAAACGCATTGATATAGACACGTTTTCACTAAGTTTGGCTTAAAAACGACATACATATCTAGTGGTATACCGTAGTTAGTAATTGTACTAGGCTTTGGAAAATATTTGGTCTTTCACAAATTCAAACTAAAATCTAAACGCGCCTTTTCATTTATGGACGGTGGTTTGTTAACACAATTTTCATATCTACCAAGTGCAAGTCCGAATTTATACGGGAACAACATACCTAAGATAAAAAGAAATTTATGGCAAGAATCGACTTCACGGCCGCTTTTCATTATTGACACTTAACCCTTACAGGACCATAAAATGGCTAAGACTAAATATCTAAATACAACACAATATTTCAGCTGTTTTGGGTTTAAAGTAATGGAATACCATTAGAAAAACACACTAGGCTGTATAGATTTCCTATAATTTCATACGTTTTATTTTTAAATTCATAAAAAAAAATCGATAAGGATTTTAGTAGAAGACCAACGAATTAAGCCACTCAAGAACACCCCTAGGGTAAATTTTTATTCTTGATATATTGTAGCTCGACATCTCAACAATCATAACGGTTACGTGGAGCCATCGAGAGTAATTGTTAATTCGCCACAGTTCGTGCATAAATCAAAGCTAGTTACAGGTTGAGGCGAATCTACACAATTTATAACACATTACTTGACATAGCATCCGTGTCATGCCACCGAGATCTATTGTCCATGCAGGAAGCGATACATAATGTCATAATGTACCGCCTAACGGTGGTCACTTAGAAAAATTGGTGGTCTGTAATTATTGTTGTAGTTGTTCCGAATTGCGATTCAGTCAGCCATGGGCATATGCGGCCGTTGCACGTACGTCGCGCGCGCAACGCCATTCCGTTTCGTATTCCATTTCGCGATCTCGCACAAACTCGCCGGGCGTTCGTTCTTTTGATTTCTCGATTTTTAATTAACGAATCATTCGGGAACAATTGAAATTCAGTTTCTACAATCGATTGGTCGATAGTGTTGTGAACTGAGTTATTTTTTTTGTGAAGTGAAGTGATTGGTTACATAAATGGAGTTCTAAAGGTCTGCCGACAGGTAACTACTTTTTTACGGTGTTAATTATTATAACTGATGATTAAGGACGCTATTTAATTAACTTTCTGCATGAGAAAATGCGTACAGTTAAGCTTTCATATATTTAGAGATTCTTTTGTAAACACTTCCATGGAAATCGTAACACTCGTTACAATAATGCCTCTTAACATTTGATCCAATAATATTTTGCCGCAATCGCGACCACGTGGTTGCTTAACGAAAATCTACCTTAAATATATGGGGTGGATTATTTATGTTGTAAAATACGTATATATGAGAAAGGTACTTAGTTGAATATATAAGAACATTATTAATTTGTTTATTTTGTTAAGTGGTGGCAAGAAAATCATTATTTCAACTTATATACGTAATATTATATTATTTCCTAATTAAGGCAGTACTTATCTCCATTTTCTTTAACTGACGGTAGGTATGTGGGAGACGTGAGAAATAGTTTCTCATATTATATGTAAATGATATTGTTAAGAATGCACCATTTCACTTTATAGCACAATCTAACGACAATTTATAGTTTTTATTGTTTATGTCGGTAGTTTGGTACGTATCTGTTCATTGAAACAACTTCCATTTTGGGCCGAATATTTTATTCATAACGATCTCTCGTATCGCGTTTTACGAGGTTTTACTATAAATTTTTACTACTTTATAAAATTTATTATTAAGCAATAAATAGAGATTAGATATTCGAACTTGTATTCAATGTTTTCGTAACATGTGATGATTTGAAAAAAAATATTTTGCCCTAGTTTTGCATCTTAATATTACGGACTTCAAGGACAAATAAAGGAATTCTCGTAATTTCAAAGCAAACAGAAAAACGTTCTTAATCGTTTGTTAATCTTTATCCTTTGAAAAGTTACGAAACCTTACAAATAGAAATACCTATGTGAGAATAATATTACAAGCTGTTACTTTTCATGAGAAGCTAGCTAAATAAAAAATTATAACATGTGATCACTTAAACATATCTTGTCCTTATTTTGCGCCAGTTACTTATTGGTTATAGTTGCACCTGTCCTGGGTCCGGATTCTGTTATTTTCACTTACTAGTCGTTTGCGTTCGCTAGCCTGTTTTCTATCATTAGTGTTCTACAAACACAACAGCTAATGGCTACGACACATGATTAGAATACCATAAAGAATAGAAATAAATAAAAATTTGACGGTTTCTACACAAAACCTATACTGTAACGGAAATTGTAGGTATATAAGACTTATCTAAATTGGCAAATTGTTGTATATTTATGGTAGTAGCGTCTTAATGGTCGACTTCTACTCGCTATCTAAATGTCGAGTTTTACCAGAATCGGATCTCCGTACAGCATTTATCACGAGTATCTGCAACTGTCTTCGCCGTACTCCGTTACATTTAATTCCGCAATAACATTCTATCGAGTGATAAGAAATCGATTTTTCAACGTACAATCGATGTCATTACTCGATTACAGGCGGCAACTCGCGGAACGAATTGAAATTAGAATCGGTCGAGTTGGCACGACCTTCGATATCGTCGCAGAATCGAATCGTATCATGTAACTGTATAGTGAAACTAGTTTGGTTGTCTGCTTCTAATTGCGTTGCGGGTTAGGTGTTCTTTCTGTACTTTTTCTTGGTCATGAGGCCCAGTGGCACCGACAGGCTCCACATCCGTTCTTCTGCGAGTCTGGTTACTTTCATTTGATCATCACTATCTAATGCATAGCGTATTCTGCGACCAAATCGATAAAGATATTTAATAGCTCCAATGTTATTTTATATTAGCTGAGTCAGCGACTTCATCCACGTTATATATATAGGGCATCAAATTTGTTTTTGCTAATCTCCTGTACCTCCTTTGCAAACTATAAATTTAATCTGTTAGGTACCCACGACTTCGTCGTTCTTGCTAGGTAATTTTAAAAGATTAACGCACAATATCGCAGACATTTTAGTTCATTTAAAGAAGAATCATACTCTCATACATATTTTTGGGTGTCTTGAATAGTTTTTGCAGCGAACACAAAGACGAATAATTTTTCCCTTTTTACATTTGCGGCTGTTTCTTTGTTCGTATTAGGCACAGTGCGATGTTTTATAGCCTTCCTCGATAAATGTTCTAACCAACAAACTGACTGTTCCTGAGATTAGCGCGTATAAACAAACAAACAAATTCTTCA